GACTTCACATTTGGGTAGCTGATTAAATAACCCACACCCATGCGGACGCAGCATACGGGAATAGCACGCTAACATGGCGTCGCAAGCACATGATACCCACGGAAGGCGCTCATGGGAAGTGTTGTCACTCGAGGAAGGAATGGCAGGGTGCACTCTAAATATTGGTAACCTAGCACTCTGCTCTTGCATGCAGTAAGTAGCACACAGAGCTTCATGATAAAGGGTGTGCACATAGCTTAGCCCTGAACTAGCCAAGGCATTCCGCTTCCTGCGTATATGGCTTTTGCTGCACAAAGGCAAACACCCAAACGAGCAGGAATGCACGGATAACAGACCATCTTCTCCCTTCTTAACATTGTTTTTGTGCTCTCTTATTCACGCATTCTGGTAGGCGTGGGTGTTCGCCTGTTTTTTGATAAGGGCTTAGTTTACGCATGCACAAAATGAAACAATGTGGTTCATAGAAACATCAGCTATGACACATTAGCTAGGCGAAAAATGTGGCAACTCAACATCGTTGTGATCATCTAATAATTTTTAATTTCACTCATGCCACAACATTCGCGCATGCCAGATGTAGGGCTTTTCTATGTATATATTCAGTGATCCAACATCTGTTGAATCATTGTTGAAAATTAGCGCTTCTGTGTTTCTGGCACCCTATCCTCGTGAATTGAGTGCCGCGCTCAACTTTATCCACATGTTAGACCACAAGGTCAACAAGCTACACTTGCTAAGCTCGTTATGATTATGAGAATTTCAGATATTTTTCAGAATTTTTTATTGATACCAATACAAGAATGTTTCATGTGTTAGCAAACATAAGGGCGTCCCAAAGTCGAAGCTGCATCGAGACCCCGTGTTAAGAGCAGATTGTGGTAAAACATATTTTTGAGGTAACATTAGCAATAATCATAAGTATGAACTAAACACGTAAAAAACATAGCAGTGAAAAAATATACGAAATGAAAACAAAACATCCATAATGAAACAAAACAAAGCGAATAATAAAGCTAGCAGTAGAACTAGAAAAAAGATACAAAAAACTCTAATACATAAAATCTGGCAATTAAACAAAATAAAGCTATGGAAAGGAAAAACAGTAATACTAACCATGGAGAAGGGTGATTACACATAATGAATGAACACAATGACATATGCACAATGAAACAAATTGAAGCAATGAATAAAGCTAAGCAGTAGTGCCGAAAAAATCGAAAAAGCTACATTAGGTAAAGTTTAGGCTTTGAAACCAAATGACGCTATGAAAAGGAAGAACACTGTTGCTAAGCATGTTTAAGTGTATTTTAGTTCGGTCCTAAATTGATGTAAATGTCTTGCATTTTTAGAGAAGTTGGTATTCTGATCCATGATGATATTGATGAAAATTAAACACTGAGTTCGCCATAATTAGCGCATACCTTCGGCAAGATAACGTTACTGTTATGCGAAAATTCAGTATTACTATGAGCAAACAGGTCAGTAGATGAGAAGCAACTTGGAGGTAGCGCCTAGGTTATGTAAACTCCGTAATGAAGGCTACTGAAAATTTTACCACCTGCGATTGTTTAACGTGCACCTAAATCTAAACATGTGGACCTCGAGCATTTACCGTCCTACGGTATGCAGCTGCAGCAGCCGAAATTCGATTAGGTGTCCAGCGAGCCAGTAGGCGACCAGCCTAACCACAAGACGAAAGTGGTTGGTGAAGTGGGGGGGGGGCTGAATGTGGTACAGGAGTACTCCCGATTAACTTGGACCATCTGAGCCCCTTTCATGTGCACCGAAGTGTGGGCGTACTGGTATTCCTACATTCCTGTGAGGTGTCGAGTAGTACCTGCGTACCCGAGCTAAGGAGCGCAGCAACTCGCTTGACATACTAAAGTGCTGCTTGCGAAGTGTGCCGGCCCGTGATAAAAACTGGACTAACCTACCTGACTACAAACTTGATTTGCTCCTTCGTGCAGTATGAAAGCCTTCCACTGTTTTTCCCTCCGCTCGCTGGGCTCATCAAGTATTCATCTTCCCACGCGCAGTTCAGATCATTTGGATACCCATCCATGACAAGCTCTGACTTTTCACCGTCGTGAGTGGCCCCTAGCCTGGAAACAAATGTGCCAAGTCAACTCGCTGCCGTAACGTTGAACACTCTTCAGTAACGACTCTGGGTTATTCCTACCAAAGCACTTGAATTCTGTCAGCATCCCTCCGTGTTCACGCTCAATCGGGTTGATACGCTAGCTGGAGTGACATTCACTCGATGTTTCCGCTCCTTTCGGAGCGCTTTTGTAGAAGCATATTCGCCATACAAGACAAGCAGAGTGAAACCAGTGATGGTGGTCGTCTGATAATCAACCATGTGGTGTGTTATTTCTTCCTGCTTATGTTCCTGGAGCCTGTCATCTTAAGGTTTTTTTAAGAGGCTCAACGGGAAAAAGCGACTCAAGCGATGAGACACGGCTTAATAAGCGGCGCTTAACCATTACAGTAAACTGACTTTTTCTTACAAATGAGCACTGACATCACACAGCACATGTGCCAATGGCAGCTCATCTTCATTGACTGCCACTTACGTGACTTGAGTCAGCATTCAAGCAAGCATGGTGGCTACTATGCCGTACTGAAAGCACATGCAACCACCCGCAAGTGTATGCTTGCTTCTTTAGTGAACGAATGAGCGAGAGCCACAGCTAAACATGCGATCAATTCTCTGGACTACAGCCACTTCATGAACGAATAATTCTTTGAACCATGGACGTGTTCACCACGCACGACGCTCGTTAAAGTCCACGTTGAGCTAAAAAGTGCGTGAAGCTTAGAACCTACATAGGCCCTCTTCCTGAGCATTCTCAAAAGATGCCGTCGAACGGTAGTGGCGGCTCCTTAGAACATATCAGCGGAATATCGCAGCGCAGCATGATGCCTGGAATATACAATCAATTTTCGAAAGAACTTTCAAATCCCTCGCTTCTATTTTTTTTGTAGAAGTGATGCCATAATTTAAATTGACCCCTTCATAAACAGAAAGTCCATGACCCTTCTCTACACCGTGAACCGGTATTTTCGCCGGTGCATGCCACGACATTTTCGTACTGCCTTCTGTCGTGCTACAATAACAAACAATAAAAATTACATCGTTACGCGCACCCCCTACCCAATATCATGTAGCTTAAAGTGCGTTCACTAGACAAAAGGGCAAGGAAAGTGCTTTAAGCACGTGGCAAAATCTGTAATTATACTCGGACTTTCGGGATTTCAAAAACATTTGCCGCAGTCAATTATTCATTTTACAGTCAACTCATTTAATAATGTCCCTTAACGTTTACAGGGCCTCATTAGGTGTGTCATGACCGGCGTTAGAACCACTAGAACACAAACAAATGCGACATGTACAGCTTCTGTATATAGTGGGTATCGCACATTGTGTCGTGAATAACGCGACAGCTGTACAAGGCTTGTAGTGTGCCAATCACTTGCATGTATATTTTTATTCACATATCTCATGTTGCCTATACTCCGATAGGAAGTAGAAGGCCAGAGGTATGTTGGCCATATCAACATGGGCATTCGTTTGATTACACATCATCGTCATCTCAAAGAAAGATTTTTGTGTTCTTTTGCACAAATGATCTGATTAAGAGTTTATGCAGTTCTCTTCCGTCGAGAAATGTGTAAGCGCTGTATCAACCGCTTGTGACTACGAGCTTCGGGTGACATTGTGTGATCGTGCAGGACTTTATAGTTTACACAAACTGCTCGTGAGACACCACAGATTAAGATAATGAGATCATGAGTGGATATTTCATGGGCATAAGAAGGTTCTGCGTACATGAAACTTTGATTACATGTGCTACACGTGGTGCCTTCTTTGCGAACGAAACAAAGACATTTGTGTAAAATGAACAAGCCTAGTGTGATCAAGCTGGTGTCTTAGTAATAAGAGAAACAAAAATTCAACACCACTGCCACAAAATGTGTCTTTGAATTTCATGGTTGTAAATGGTAGACAATGAGTGCATGTGTGCATGCTGACAATAAAACATACGCATGTGCGATCTCATGAGCGACCGTAAGTACTCCGCTGTACGTCGGTGGGGTTATCTCCTGCCACTATGCACTGTCGTTTGAGCAAACTTCTGCGACACTAGCCACACCTGTAAAGATAACACAGTTACATTCTGTAAAAACAAGACAAGCAGTGTTCTGGCACATGATAGCGCAACAATTGATTACGTTTTTTGTGTTAGTTAAGTTCAGAGTCATGTTGCAAAACCGATTAATTTCCGTGTAATATAGGCGTGGGAAGTGGCATTGACTTGCTAATACCTTACACTTTATGGCATTTTATGAAGCCACACATAATAAAATGCGTCTCATATGGCTCACTGTCATTAGCGCTTAAACCCACTCGCGAGTGCTCTTTCGACTGCGAAGTGCGTATTCCCGGCTACAAGGCCTGTACAGTAACCGTAATTGAAGCAATTGTGGTGGTCTCTCAAATAGAAATATTTTGCACACGACCTGACCACGTGGCTTTCTCAGACGAGTTCAACTCACGAATATATTTCTATTAGCGTCTAGGCACCCCGTTGCTTTATAGACGTTTGAATCGACATGCAGTACACGCAGTTCCTAAGGTTGGTGGCAAACTTGTAAAATACCAACATATTTACTACCACCACGATATTAAGCTTACTTCCCTAGTTAAACGGCATTGAAAGCAGATAAGCCCTGCAAATCCGTGCATGTTTTTATTATTAACGCGAAATATCTGACTTATGAAGCCTTTCATATCAAATCGTGGATCAAGTTTTTATTGAATATCTGGCCGAAAATACGTCATTCAGGGAAAAAAAGGTAGATCCCACGTATACTGTGGGAATCGGTGATATGCGAAGCAAGAATGAGGAAGGTTAAACTATCACAGTAAAATTATCGGGTCCTATACGAGATGGACGTGAACTATGCCGTAAATGGCTTCCATGTCATGATTATCATGTTTTTGCGCCTGGCATTTGTGTTCCTCGTCCGTTCGCGTTACGTCGTACTGAATTTGGTGCATGTAAAATAGCGAAACGGCCGTGAGCGCATCATGAGCATGGCATGGAGTCATATTTTACATGATTTCGATGTCATGATTACCATGCTTGGATGTGTCATTTATCTTTATCGTCCATTTGCGTCACGCAATACTAAATTTAGTATATGTAAAGCTAACGAAACGGCCGCAAACACACAATGACCGTAGCATGTAGTCATGTTTTGCGTGACACGCATGTCGTGATTATCACGTATGGACATGTCATTACCCTCGCCGTCCGTTCGCGTCACGAAATACCAAACTTGGTATATGTGAAGCTAGGGAAACGGCCGCATCATGAGCATTGCATGTAGTCATGTTGTTACAAAACAGGCATCCCTTACAAAAATCCTATATATGGACTTATATAAAAATCCCCATATATGGCTACATCAGGAATTGGGCATATCTGGCCCATATATGGAATCCCCATATATGGGCCGTATATAACCTGATATGTCCAAATCCTGATATAGCCATATATGGGCCTTAATCCCCATATATGGTGCTGCTGTATATGGCCATATATGGCTATATATAGAAGCATCCATATAAGGTCTTATATGGATGCTTTCATATATGGCGTTGTATGGATACCTTTATATAAAGCCATTCGAATGATTCATCTATATTAGTTCAGCCTGTGTCACCGGCAAAAAATATAGCTGCTCAAATCATTCTTCAGCTAGAAATATACTGTTTGTTGAAAGGTCTGCATGCAGTCACTATGATCTCCAAAACAAAGGCAGTAGATATCCCCTGAACATTCTTGTTCAATTAAGTTATCCTCATTATATCTCAAGTTATTCTCAACAACTATTTGCTAGAATGTAACTTGGCATCATATTTAAAGTTTGTGGTGGGCACATGTCACTGTTAGTCCACTTTTCCTGAAGAGGATACATTCTTTGTGCTTAAATTTATTGCTTACTTATCGACACTTTTTATTTATCTATTTATTTCATTACCCACAGCACCAATTGGCATTACAATGGGGAGCATTTACGAAAAGTAGAATACAAAAATACATAGTCAGCCAAACAAATAATCAAATTCACCTGAATCACAATCTGCAAGAGAAATTCATATACAAATCGGAACATGTTCTAACATATAAATCGGAACAATTCTAACATGAAATAAAACAAATATTTGGGAGTGTAGAGGACAATGCTAGAAGGCAGCTGGTTCCATCTTGTAATTTTTTTTGGTACAAAATCATTTTGAAACACGTCAGTCTTGCATGCGATTATTCTTATCTTGAACCTATGGGTCAACACGGTCTGAGACATAGTACGGTGCAAGTAAATATTCCGCTTTATCGATTCCGACTTGACAAAAATAAATACCATAAAAGAACCAATTTGAGTTTCGTAAAGATATTTTTCACAGTGTGTTATGTTTAAAACTTTTCTCGTGTGTCAATGGAGCGTCCATAGTCATCAAAACGAAATATGACTTGCTATTGACCGTATGAACTGCGCGTGCATTGAATAACTTAAATGAGTTGATAATCAACTTTTAAGGAGTTCGGTCGAAAGTGATTGGTATGCAAGCTTGTTATGTACAAGTATTGTGACTAATGACCTATAGAACGACTGCTAAAACTGGTGTCTATAGGTCTCTGTGCGCGTGGCAACGGAGGCATTTAACAATATTTCTTGCCAACGGGACACTAAAAATGTACTTTGTAAACGTAATCCGCTTTCCATTTTGCAATAATGCATCATTAACGTAACAGTGGTAAAGAGCTCATTCTTCAGAAATTCAGGCGTAGGCATCGGTGGCTCTCCGTGAAAAATCGTCTTGTCAATGATCGAAAATTGAGAGAATGCAAATAAAACAATATTATAAATTTTCGGGTCTGAGTGATGATCGAAATCATGCAGGCAATTTGCATGGCATGCAAGTGCTCTACCGCACAGCTATGCATCTGCTTGGAAATAAAGCATGAATAACTTCCTCTTGTTGTAAATGCAAGGAAAATAACTGTCATGTTTAACAAATACATGTATCCTGCATACAGGTTTCACAACACAACATTTAATATCGCAGCTATATTGCATGATACAAGCGTGCATTGTCATCAAGCATCACAACACGTTATTACTAACGTGACTTCACGGTCTAAAGACAGCCAACCATTACAAAAGGCACACTGGTTACTGCACGTATTCCCCTCACGACTGCGTAGTGGGCGCATAAAGTTCTAAAACATTTTACACACATTATATTGAGAAGCACGTTCTGCTGGGCGAGTTGGTACTTCATCTTAACTTAGTTGCGCGAAAAAATTTGAAGTGCGAAAGGAAGACACCTGGACACAGCGCACACTAACCACTGAAACTTCATTGGAGAAAACAGACATATGTATGCGGTTACGACAACACGTGAGGTGGAAAAAATGATTAGATGAGCAGACATCTGATCATTTCCTTTCACAGTGTGGACATCGTGTGGTGGACGGCACTGCGCTGTCGTGTGGGAAGTATTATTTAGAATTTATTTATATAATTGTAGATCACAAAGTTTCTCTAAAGGAATTAACAACCATTCTCTAACCAATCATCATATTGTAGAGAGTGTGGCTGCGCGCCCTTGTTTGGAATACGGTAGTTAAAGCTAGATTCAGCGTCACGGTATAGCGCGGGAAATCGAAGAGGCGTATTTCATAAACAAAGCTGGGGATTCATGTGTCACGTAACTCTCACTTATGTTGCTTGCTACTGAGGTAGCTTTCCTGGAAGCGCATCAATTATACAATCTGTCTGCTCATCTAATCCTTTTCTTTCACCGAACGTGTTCTCGTAACCGCATACATATGTCTGTTTTCTCCAACAAAGTTTCAGTTGTCAGTGTGCCCTGTGTCCAGGTGTCTTCTTTTTGTATTTCAATTTTTCGCGCAACACAGTAATTACATATTAGTTCTCGTTCTTTAAACTATTATGCCTCTTTTCTACACAAAATGCAGACATGCACAAAACCTTCATTTAGACACTTTCAACATTCTCAAATACACTATACTATTCCACAATTAAATTTGTTCAAGTAGCATCATGCATAAAGAGTACACACTAAGTGATTGAATTCACGCACAAGAAACAGGATCGATACTGCTATCACGTTCAACTGTGAAAAACGGAGCTTAACGGTCCCCCAGTTTTTTCACACAGTAGCAAGCCCTAATGCATCATACCAGTTTATTTGTCGGCTTGCGTAAAACTATCTACAGTGCTCACGGATTAAAACGTGACATCACATGAGTTTGTGTAACTATGTATGCGAGTATGTCGCAGTTCCTCAAGATAACCACGCGATGTTGCGACATCAGTAACGATAATGTCGCCTGTGATGTACGCATTCCAGTCAAATTTACACTTATATCACCCTGATTGTAGATGGTGGAAACGAAATCACGGACTATTCTTAAGTTTTTTTTTCCGTTTGGATCCGTGACATTGCACCCTGCTTTGAATAATCAAACTAGCAACAAAATTCTAACTGCGTGTCCGTATCAAAACACACGTAAATATAAAAACAAGTGGAACGTAGACGAACAAAGATAAATTCAAACGCAAGACAAATTCAAACGTGGGCTCATAAATCTCATGACACCCTTGGAGTTGGAGATATGCAACTCTTTTTTATTTGTAATTGCGCAAGTTGTAATTTATCCTTGGTTTTTCCTCAAGCGTTAAAAGTGAGAAAAATACAACACAAGTATATTTACATCATATATTTATGAAAAGTACAATGGCACGAAACCAACAATTTCCTGGCGTAGATTTTTTGCATAAATAGAGAACTGTCTAGATCAAGTGAAAAAAGAGAAAGTGTTGTCGTATCGCTTAAAACAAAACAGCCTAATGACGTAACCACGATTAGCATAAAGTTATTTACTCAGCAAGCATGCAATGTGGTATGTTTTCGAGTTATCATAATATTTATGATCAACGTGCTAAAGTAATGAAAATGATGAACTTACCTTAACATTTAACCGAGACTTGTCTTTCAAGGAGCCTGTTATCCTGATAACCTATTCACACCTTAAAGCCCCCCATCCATTCGTACTGC